TTCTGTTGTTTACTTTCAACTTTCTAAATAATGACAAGTTTTGTTAAGTAATGTGACATTTGCACTGGGCCAGATGGCCTCTCGGGCCAATTAGCAGTTTACCCTCCTCTCCCAGCCACGGGCTGTGTTCAAGCTGAAGGAAGGGTTTTCATCTTTGTAACAATTCTCCATATCCCTCTATGTTAAAAAAAAAAAAAGAATAAGAAGAAGAAGAAGAAGAAGAAGAAGAAGAAGAAGAAATATTTATGTTTTCGGTCAACAAAAGAAAACTCACCTCCACGTGAATCAATTGTTAATCAAGAGGACGTGCATGCAGCTTAATTTGTTGAGCATCAGCCATGCGTCTTATAATTAATGAATGTGTCATTTAATGAGAAAGTAATTTCATTTTTATGTGTTGTACTATAAAATAATAATTTTTTAATATATCATAAGTTAACTGTTTGATAATACAAGAGTTTAAATCTCTAATATTAATTTAAAATTAAAATTTTTAAATTAATAAATATTAAATCAACCAAAATTTTGTTGGTATAAAATAATAACTATTGATACAGAATGATCTCTTTCCATACTTCACAAGCAGCTAGTAGCCAAGGACTCCATTTGCTAGCCTAAGGGATAATTTCATTACCTCGCGAGCAATCATGTCCCTCACTACGGCCTTGTACACATGCTTCTAGTACTCTCGATTTGCTACAGCACTCAGTGTGTTTACCCAAGGGTGTCCTAAGGTTCCTCCACCGAATTGTAGTACAGAATCATCTCCAAAGATATCGGTCGACAAAGCAGGCATATGCCAAATGTGAATACCACCAGAAGCTACAAGTAGAACACCTGGTAGAGAAACTCAATGAACTACTCTATATTCAGGGAGCTTGTCCATCATTAATTACGTTTTATGAGATGTGCAGCCATGTTACTTAATTTAATCAAGTTGCATATAATATGTGGTCGACAAATGATCAAAAAACATATAGGTTGGGAAGTGGCCTCCATTGTACTGTAGACTTGCGCACTTTCATCCTGAGAAACTATTCAGTATAATAGGAACACCACGTCAGAGGTATCCCATCCTTTAATATCTTGATAACTTAATTTGGCAACGTATCCAACAATAAAAACTAACGTTTTCAAATTTTCATTATTTTTAACAAAATTTACATAATGTTGTTAACTTTTTTTCTTTGATAATTGATATTTAGTTATTGATAATTATTGTTATTTATAATTTAAAGTATTTAATTTGTTCAATAAACCTAATAACTAATAGCTGTTT